GCCCCAGGCTACATTAAATGCAGGTTCACGTCCAACAAGGATAAACATGCTGACCACAATGTGTTTGTGAGGTGAATTATTGAATGCCGAGAGCATAAAGCCATTGAATTTAATACATATTTAGAAATATCTACACTGCAAAAAACTTAAACTTAAATTCAAAATCAAATCTAAAAATATTGTATGAAACATTTATGTTTATATTTTATAAAGTCTATAATATTACATGAACCACATAATAGTAAATTATATTCAATGATACCATTTGGATTCGTACTTAATATAAATGCATTAAAATACTTTCATTAAAATGAAATTTAAAAAAACAAAATAGCACATTTCTTATGTTTATTTATTATTAGCATATTATTACATTTAGATATTATATTTATTAAGATCAATAGCTGAGTATGTTTAATTATTTATTATTATTATTATTATTATATTTAGCATAATCACTTTAATTGTAGTTTGACTGTAGTTATTATAAATATGTATTATAAAGTATAAATATACAAAAAAATAATATATTATACAATTATACGTAAGACTATATTTAAAGTTTTATTATAATGTCTTGCAAATTATATAATTCACACAATAAATTGTACAGGCAAAATTATTTTAGTTGCATTATCCATACACATTATTAATAATACTTCAAAAATTGTGAAACTATATTAAATAAATACCAGTGGGATTCATTCTAAACAAAAATAGCAGTATATGTCTTATGTTTATTTAGTTTAATTTTTAAATTATATCTATTTGTATAGTGGCTTTAATTGTAGTTAAAATACTGCATGTGGTATTTGTCGTCCTCCACATGAGATTAATTCATTTAATTTTAATAAAAAATATTGGGTAAAAAATCCTGAAAATTGACAACCCCTAATGGATGCATAGCAGCGAATGCATATGCCTTAATAACTGAGTAGTAGTAGGGCTGTGCAAAAAATCGAATGCGATTTTCATGCGCATCTCATCTTGACAAGCTACGCAAAATTTGTGTATCTGTGTAGTAAATGCCGCTCCATCTGAACGCACATGCTGGAGATTTACTACTAATCACAGAAGCGAGATTCGCATTCGATTTTTTGCACAGCCCTAAGTAATAGATAGACTCCATACGTGGTGGAGTCTATCTATTACTTAGGGCTGTGCACAAAATCGAATGCGATTTTAAAAAATCCTGAAAATTGACAACCCCTAATGGATGCATAGCAGCGAATGCATATGCCTTAATAACTGAGTAGTAGTAGGGCTGTGCAAAAAATCGAATGCGATTTTCATGCGCATCTCATCTTGACAAGCTACGCAAAATTTGTGTATCTGTGTAGTAAATGCCGCTCCATCTGAACGCACATGCTGGAGATTTACTACTAATCACAGAAGCGAGATACGCATGAAAATCGCATTCGATTTTTTGCACAGCCCTAAGTAATAGATAGACTCCATATGTGGTGGAGTCTATCTATTACTTAGGGCTGTGCAAAAAATCGAATGCGATTTTAATGCGTATCTCGTCAATCACTCCCTCACTGATCTGATTGTCTTTTTGATCGCAGAGCCCCAACCCCTCCCTGACCTTCTGCGTGAAGACACACGACAGACTGTATTACATGGTGGCCCTGTCTGCAGAGGCCATGAGGATATGGATGGATGTGATAGTGACAGGAGCCGAGGGCTACACGCAGTTCATGAACTGAGACAAAACCCACCGCTCAAAACGGAAACCGTTCGGCAGGGAGACTTCAAATGACCCAGACCTGTTATTCCCAATGAGAGGAAAAACTTTATTTTGTTACTTCCTTTTTTTCTTCTTCTCGTGTTTCCTGGAGATGTTATATATTCACTCAGATGCACAGACAGATATCCACCAGAGGCTTTCCATGTCTGCCTGGATTGAAAAAGGGAGAAGACGAAAAGACCCGGTGAACCAAAACCTGCAGGTGGTGGCTCACTCACCATCGACGAAAATGCCTTTTTGCCGTCAGAGATATTTTTCAGTTGCAGTTTATCTTGTCTGAATGTGCAGAAACTTGACTTTCATTTCAGTTTGTCCCACGATTTGTCTTTTCAAACATAATGGGAAAAATGCCAAATGCCATCAAGCCATTCTGGAATAGTGTTGCGTTAAATATTTGATGGGATCAACCGACACGAAATGATGAGAGAATATAAATTAACTGCAGTACATTTAAATGATGTTTTAAATTAAATGGAGTATTACATTCACATTTAAAGATCCGGTATCACAAAAACAAAGACTTGATTCACCAAAGCTTACCTACCAGCTCAGGAGTCTGTATTTATTGTAGAGGGACATCAGCGACTCCTGTCCAAGTGTATCCCACTGCGTCTCTGTGTTCCCAGCTCATTCTTTTAGATACAGAACCACAAACGCATGCACACACACACATACCACGTACAACAGTAGAGTCTATTTGCCAAGTCCTGACAACTTGATCTTGAGATTTGACTCCCAAGGGAGGCAGCCATCACCTATCACTGCCAGCCTACGAGAGTTTGGAATAATTGCCACAAACAGGAGAAAAAGAAACAACATCATAATCATGCAAGTCATACAGTGCCTTGATATTGACCCATATTTGTCACTCTTAGTATCTGAATTGTTACACTAGTGAAAAACAGCTGGAATCACAGTCGTAAGGTGCGGTCACATTAGCATAATTTTGAGGGTCATAATGGTCCTTTATCAATTGTGTTGAGATGTATGAAGTACAGCTCACACAGAAGTCAAAACAAGCAACTCTGTAAATTCGTGTGATCAACTTGAAGCGGTTTTGAAATTTGCGTGGATGTCTATTGAAATTCG